AATAGTCTTTGTGTACCATAAGAGCCAGTAATGTGTCTTATATATATATATATATATATATATAAAGCCCTTAAATTCTGCATCAGTTTGTGGCCGCCTCCCTCCCCCCACATGAGCCAATTTTCACAATTCCTCATTAACAGGTACATTTCTAAAGCCATACTCATTGTGTGTTTGTAAAACCAGATACCATAGTCCTTGCACTGAGCAAAATGTATCGACTTTTAGGGCTTTAAGGACTGCATCAACAGAAATGAGTGAGAGAAAAGTGCCCATTATTCGATCTCTCTGGCCAGTTCAGGGCTATTGCCTACAGTAGTTTTCCTGGTGCTTTTTGTGACTTTCATTTAGCACTGAACTGTGCTGTGAAATGCATGATGCTTTCATAGGACTCTCTTTTTAAAGTCTCTGGATACACTTAGTTGCTTTGGCCTGGCAGGTTGAACAGGCTGGGCAATCTCTTTGAACAAAATAGGAGACCTTCAGTAATCTGGGGAAAGGTGTTGCAAGGCAGCTGGAGGCTGTCTTCCTCCAGCACATGCTTCTGGAAATACTTGTGACATGGTGCAATTTGGTATTTTCTAAAGGGAAGAGAAAACTTCCGTTCACGAGACACAGATATGTCATGCTTAGCAGGGTAGATTGGAGAAATCTCCCTGCCTCTGCTGGGGTTTCCCTCAACTCTGTTTCGTTCTCAAAGTCTCCTTCAATTCCAAACTTAATAGAATTATAGAGAGCAGTGTCTGCTGGTGCTTGTAAGTGCCAAGCATTTCAGTTGGGGATGGTGGTGTTTTTTATTAACTTGTCTCCAAGCGCAAGGTATTTCTCACCCAGCATTTGTACACATATAACACTCTGTTTCTGTCGCTTACATCACGTATGTATGGATTTTATTTGTAATACACCCCTCCCTTGATATAACGCTGTCCTTGGGAGCCAAAAAATCTTACTGCGTTATAGGTGGAACCGAGTTATATTGAACTTGCTTTGATCCACCGGAGCGCGCAGCCCCGCCCCCCTGGAGTGCTGCTTTACCGCGTTATATCCAAATTCGTGTTCTATCGGGTGGCGTTATATCGAGGTAGCGGTGTACTTGACATTCACTTTTCTAATAATCTTGCAATGGAATGATATCCCCTCTGCTTCTGCTGTCTCTGCTCCTCCTCTTCCACTGCACTGCTCGGCTTCTTCTCCAGGGAATCTTTTCAGTCGACCTTTTTTCTTCCCTTTCCCATTCCTCTCCCTACACAGTGTGCGCTCTGTCTCTCTTCCCTTCTTTGTGGAGTTCTACCCCCCACTTCCAGCCTCTCATCATGTCACCCCAACAATCTTCCCCTCCTTCCCCTGCCTGCCCCTGTGCCCTAGTTGCTCCTCCCAAATACTTTCCTAAGTAGCCCCTCACTCACTCTATTTCCATTTGTTAGGTATATTACATACCTCTGGGGGATTTCTGTGCCAAAAAAATTAAACATTCTGCACCAAGAAATTAAAATTCTGCATATTTTATTTGTCAAAATAGCACAATATAATCACACCAGTTTCAATTATTTTGGTACTTTATTCCAAAATACCTGTCAGCAAGTATGTCTGTAACAATACAGACAACATAAAAGATTCAGGAAATATTTTTTGACAAATAGATTCCTTAATGGGCATATTAATACAGAACTCTGAGTAACAATTCATTTTAACTACAATACAGAACCGTATTTCCCATACCCCTCAGAAGCAGTGAAAAGGCTTGGTGGAGGCGGGGGTAATGGAGGAGCTGAGGGAGAGGGAAGTAATTGCTGGGATGTAGCCTGGGTTTCAACTTGGAGGGTTGTTCAGTATGGGTGGGAAAAGTATGGAACTGGGTTTTTTGGGGAGAGGGGCAGGTACAGGGAGCGATTGTAAAAGAGCTTCCCCCATGCAGATCCTGGCTGACCCCTAGCCTCTCCCATTCAGTCAGGCACAACTGCCCCGTCCCCATGTGTCCTTGCACCCCTTGTCCATGTATCCCTCCACGCTCACTCAGACAGCCACTCCCCGCCATTCCCATGTGTCCCTGCACTCCCTCCTCCTGTTCCCATGTGTCCCTGCACCCCCATGTGTCCTTGCACCCCTTGTCCATGTATCCCTCCACCCTCACTCAGACAGCCACTCCCCCCGATTCCCATGTGGCCCTGCACCTCCACTCCCATTCAGCCCCTGCCCCAGTGTGTCCTCCCCCACTAGCCCTTATGAACCCCTGTCTGTTACCCAGCCCCCGCAGCCCCACGCTCTGTGTTTCCCCAAAAGGCAACTGCAACTTTCCAGCAGAAGCTATTTTCTGCACACACACAAAGCATGCACAGCAAATGAATTATGCGCACGCAGTGGCACAGAATTTCCCCAGGAAGAATTACAGTAGCCCCTACAGAGCTTGGCCAATGTTGAGCTTAGTGCTGTATCAACCCAGAGTAACTAAGCAAGACAGACGAAGGAAGAATGATTACCCCCACTTTACAGATGGTGACCTGAGACAGAGAGGTGACGTGACTTGTCCTAGGTCAGTGGCAGAAACCGAACCCTGTGCTTCTGAACCCTAGTCTAGTACCTCCATCACAAGGCCATTCTTCACGGACTCTGACATGTCACTCACTCATTTAGTCTCTGCAAAGCAAATGAGAGAGTGCCACAGGAACCATAGAAGGGCTGTTACCCCGGGCCTGGGTGCATGATGTGTGTATCAGAGAAAGGGAGGCTAATTGCACGGCCTGCGGAGCAGAGACAAGACAGGTTGTGGTAGGTGAGATCATGCCAGGTGAGTGCCAAAGGAGGAGTCACTGTCTCTGGAGGCCTCCTTCAACAGCAGAACAGAGAGAGCAGCTCCTGGAGGCTGGGGGAGGCTGCTAACAGGCTAGCTAAGCGCAACAGCACCCTGAGGCAGGAGCACTGATTCAGTACTAAGTCGGTGCCACCTACTGAGTCACTGCCACTGTTAACTGCAGCACACCTCCGTTTTTCTTGGCTGCGTCCCAGCCCCGTCTTGGCCTGGCAAACCCCACTTAGCTGGAGAGCTACAACCAGCATGACAGGACTGTCGATGTCAGAGGGGGGGTGGAGGGGAAACGGGACCAGGGAAGAGAAATCAATTCATCTGTTTCCCCTAA